CATCTTAGAATTCAGAAACACTTGAAGCCATTTCAGAATATATTGCAGAGACTAAACCTTCAATGGACACTGACCCACCTCCTGTTCCTTCTCTTCCCTCTCCTCCATCTCCACAACTCCACTCTTCGCAACGCTCCGTTCCTTCGCTACTTGAAAGCCTTCCAATGCCACCACACATTGACTTTTCTAACCCCTCTAGTCCGTAGGTGCCCTTCCCTACGGATTCCTGGTATTTTCTTCATCGCCAATCATGGCCTATTTACAGTGGAATATCTGCGGCCTCAGGGGTAATCGGGGTGAGCTTCAGCTGTTGCTTTCCAGGTTTTCCCCTGTTGGTGCTTGCTTACAAGAACCAAAATTACACTCGGCTGTTTTCCAACCTCTCTCAGGCTATAATTTATTGCATTCTTCAGATCCTTTCTCAGATGGAACCTTTAATGAAAGTGCTCTTCTACGCAATGATATTCCGTACTGTCAACTATTTGTCCATACCTCGCTGCATTACACTGCAGCCCGTATCCACTTGAATAAGTGGTATACAATATGTTCTTTATATATCTCTCCTTCTCGAGCATTTTCTATCCCAGATTTTGCTTTTCTAGTTTCATCCTTACCACCGCCACTTCTGTTACTTGGTGATTTCAACGCCCACCATTTCCTCTGGGGGGGGGTCTCATTGTGACTCACGTGGCATCCAGTTGGAGGCTTTTCTCACCTCTCACCCCCTCCATGTTTTAAATACGGGTACTCCCTTAAATACGGGTACTCCCACCCATTTTGATCCTCGTACTCGTGCTCTCTCTTGCATTGATCTATCAGTCTGCTCTTCCTCCACTGCACTAGACTTCACCTGGTCTGTTCTACCGGACTTACATGACAGCGATCATTTTCCTATCATTCTTACTTCACCTTCCTATTCACCACCTTTCCGTAGCCCTCGCTGGCAATTTGATCGGGCAAATTGGGACCTTTACTCGAAACTCACTGCTTTTAGTGAGGTTCCTTCTTCATCCTCCATTGATGAGCTCCTACACCTCTTCTCGACGTCAGTTTATGCCGCAGCTTCTCATTCTATACCCCAAACCTCAGGCAGGCGTTCTCAGAAGTGCATGCCTTGGTGGTCTCCTGCTTGTGCTCGTGCAGTACGTTTGAAACGCGCTGCATAGGGCAGGTACCGGTACAGTAGAACTGATGAGAGACTTCTTGATTTTAAGCAGAAGCGTGCGATCGCTCGCCGTGTCATCCGTGATGCTAAACGCACTTGCTGGCGAGACTATGTTTCCACCATCACCTCTGCTTCCTCTGTGAGTGCAGTCTGGAAAAAAGTGAGGAAACTGAGTGGTAAATACTCTCCTGACCCGGCTCCTGTTCTATGGGTTGCTGGTGTTGATGTAGCAAACCGTCTTGACGTTGCCATTGAAATTGGCACTCATCTGGTCCGTATTTCCCGGGGGCTCCATCTATGCCCCTCGTTTCTTTCCTCAAAGTCTGCCAGAGAATTAGTACCCTTGGACTTTTCTTCTCTCAGAAAAGAACAGTATAATGTACCTTTTACATTTCAGGAACTGGAGGCAATGCTCTCAGCTTGCCGATCATCGGCAGCTGGGCCTGACGACATTCATATTCGAATGTTACAACATTTACATCAGTCAGCCCTTGTAGTCCTCTTACACCTCTTCAATCTTATTTGGGCACAAGGAGTTCTTCCCCAGTTGTGGAAATCTGCCATTGTTCTCCCTTTCCGCAAGCCGGGTACTACAGGACATGATGCCTCCCACTATCGTCCCATCGCTCTTACTAGTGCAGTTTGTAAAGTGATGGAACGTCTGGTAAATCGACATTTAATGTGGTATTTAGAGACACACAACAGTCTCTCCGCTAGTCAATATGGCTTTCGTAAGGGCCGTTCTACCATAGACCCCTTACTACGCTTGGATACGTATGTTCGTAATGCCTTGCGAATAATCACTCAGTTATTGCCATATTTTTTGACCTTGAGAAGGCATATGACACAACTTGGAGGTATAATATTTTGGCCCAGGCCCACTCCTTAGGCCTCCGAGGCAATCTCCCATCCTTCCTTAAGACCTTTTTAACTGAGAGATATTTCCGTGTTCAAGTCAATAATGTGCTTTCCCCGGACTTCATCCAAGCTGAAGGAGTCCCTCAGGGATGTGTTCTGAGCACAATGCTTTTTCTCCTTGCTATAAATGATTTGGCCTCTGTTCTTCCACCCAATATTTGGTCATCACTCTATGTTGATAAATGACCATAATTTTTAAAGGGGTGGACCGGTAAGCCAGCGGTCCTGTTTCCTGACGAACCTTACCTAACCTAACCTAACTCTATGTTGATGACTTCACTATTTCTTGTGCAGGCGCTGACTGTCATCTTATTGCCGTTTCTCTCCAGCATGCGGTCGACCGTGTTTCCACTTGGGCCACCACGCATGGGTTTAAATTTTCCAGTACCAAAACTCACCAGATTACTTTCACTAGACACTCTGTCATCTCCGATCATCCTTTGTATCTCTATGGCTCCCGTATCCCCGAACGTGATACAGTCAGGTTTCTAGGCCTTCTCTTTGACCGTCGGTTATCCTGGAAACCTCACATTACCTCTCTGAAGGCAACTTGTCACAGCCGGCTAAACCTTCTTAAAACCCTTGCTCATCTTTCCTGGGGAGCTGATCGTCGAACTCTGCTTCGCCTACATTCAGCCCTCGTTTTATCGAAACTCAATTATGGTGACCAGATTTATTCAGCTGCCTCTCCTGCTACTCTCTCTAGCCTTAACCCCATACATCACCACTTATTATGTTTATGCCTTGGTGCTTTTTGCTCTTCCCCTGTTGAGAGCCTCTATACAGAAGCGAATGTTCCATCCTTGTCTGATCGCCGTGATGCCCATTGCCTTCGCTACTATGTACGCTCTCACGATCTCCACAATCCTTCCATTTATAGAATGGTCACCGATATTAGTAGACATTCTTTATTTGCTCGCCGTCCCTGTTTGCTCTGTCCCTTTTCTCTTCACCTACATTCGCTCTTGTCTTCCTTTCAGTTACCACCTTTATATGTTCATGTCGCATCTCACTTTTCCCTACCCCCCTGGGAAGTTCCAGCTGTTCGGGTCTGTTCTTTCTCACTCCCTTGCTCGAAAGCCCAACTGCCTACGGTGGCTTCCCGCTCTCTTTTTCTTGATCACTTCCACTCTCATTCTCATGCCATCACTGTGTACACAGATGGCTCTAAGTCTTCAGACGGCGTCGGATTCGCAGCAGTGTTTCCGGACAGCGTCGTGCAGGGGCATTTACTATCTTCGGCTAGCATTTTTACTGCTGAATTGTATGCCATTCTTATTCGTATCGCATCTATGCCTGTGTCATCATTTGTAGTAGTCTCAGACTCCCTTAGTGCTCTACAGGCTATACGAAAATTTGATACATCTCACCCCCTAGTTCTCCGTATCCAACTTTGGCTATGCCGTATCTCTACCAAACATAAAGATATTGTTTTTTGTTGGGTCCCTGGTCATGTCGACGTACAGGGCAATGAATAGGCAGACACTGCTGCGCGGTCAGCAGTACATGACCTACCAATTTCCTATAGAGGTGTTCCATTTCTGGACTATTTTGCTGCAATAGCTACCCACCTTCATACCCGTTGGCAACAACGTTGGTCAACTCTGCTCGGCAACAAACTTCATTCTATTAAACCGAGCATAGGTTACTGGCCGTCTTCTTGTCATCAGTGCCGAGGTTGGGAGACCACTCTCTCCCGCCTTCGCATTGGCCACACTCGTCTTACCCATGGGTATCTCATGGAGAGGCACCCTGTTCCTCTCTGTGAGCAGTGTCAAGTTCCTGTATCGATTAGCCACATTCTGTTGGACTGCCCTCTCTATCAACGAGCACGCAGAATTTACCTCCAACGTCGTCTTCGTTCTACTACTCTCTCTTTACCTTCCCTTCTTGCTGATGGACCCTCCTTTAATCCTGACTCTCTCATTGACTTCTTGACAACGACTGATTTACTCCACAAACTCTGATGATACTTTTCGCACTCCCCTCAGCCCTTTCTAGTTCAGTCTCTTGCTGCCCTTTACCCTTTCACCATCCACTGCCCCGCTGTTCTCCGTAACCTATTACTCATCCATCTCCCTTTTGCCACCTGATGCCCTCGCTTCCTTCCTGCCCTGCAGCGCTGTATAGTCCTTGTGGCTTAGCGCTTCTTTTTGATTATAATAATAATAATCTCACTGTCTTCTTGACAACGACTGATTTACTCCACAAACTCTGATGATGATACCTTTCGCACTCCCCTCAGCCCTTTCTAGCTCAGTCTCTTGCTGCCCTTTACCCTTTCACCATCCACTGCCCCGCTGTTCTCCGTAACCTATTACTCATCCATCTCCCTTTTACCACCTGATACCCTCGCTTCCTTCCTGCCCTGCAGCGCTGTATAGTCCTTGTGGCTTAGTGCTTCTTTTTTTATTATAATAACAATTCACATTAGAGCTTTTTTTCTATAAACAGCTTCTGTATAGTATTTTTATTTGCCTTCAGTTTTAAGTTGTTCATTATTATACAATTGCAGTCATTCACCATTGCTTGCACTAGTGGGCAATTTGACATTGATTATGATGCATATCTGGGTACAAAGGTTATCTACATTAGGTTAATTAAACTCAATATTGTAAATTATCTTGTGTGCATCAAATAAAGGAATATGAGCATAGTCTATACACCAATGGGTGTATCTCAGTGTATATACACAGTATGTATCCATCAGTGTATACACAATAAGAGTTTATTCTATTCCCTAATTATAATTAAGGATTAAATAAAGACATGGGTGTAGTAAATATTGTAGTTAGGTTGCACCCTTAATGACCCTGTTAGTCAACTGGTCTTCAACCTTAAAAAGTCTAATATAATCTTATGTTAATTCCTTGAGTAAGCATTCACTGGCCAAGAATAAGACAGGTGTCTCCCACAGGTGGGTGTGAAATGTGATGGTCAAAGCAATGGTGCAGAGGAAATGAGGGTCACAAAAGAACACACACAAGCTACTCCAGCTGCTGCTACACAAGCTGATATAAACATCAACCCTGGGAACAAGATCCACCGGTGTCCATACTGTATCTACTCCACCCAACATCCAACTGCTATACGGTGCCATATTCGAACACACACTGGAGAAAAGCCATATGCGTGTCCTCATTGTCCTTTTCGATCAGCTCTCAGGGGTAATCTTAAGCTTCATATCCGTTCTCATACAGGAGAAAAACCATATTCGTGCCCATTTTGTCCATTCCGAGCAGCACTTAAAAGTAATGTAACAATTCACATTCGAACTCATACGGGAGAGAGACCCTACACCTGCCCCCACTGTTCATCATGCTTTGTTCATTCCAGTCATTTGAAAAGACATGTACGAATCCACACAGCCTAATTCTCAAGATGAGATCCCTAATATACTGTACTGACTGTACTAATAGAGTCTGAACCATTCTGAAATGGGCAGATCATGTATGAATCTTTCATATCTCCTTATATTTCATCATAATTATATTATGAGCAACTGACCGAGAATACTTAACACTTCTGTAAATTCATTTATTATTAATGCAAAAATCAGTGCTTCCCCTGAACATAATGATACCGAGTAAAAAAGTGAGTAGAGGCTTCCAACATGCTTACTATACCATAATTTTGTTCAGTTGCCCACTTTACAATCTTGAGAGATTCCAATCTCAATTTACTTATATAACAGCATAATTCTTTGTTTTAACATTCCTAGTGGAAGCCCTAATATCAGCTGCTCTAGCAGTCTAGGTTTCCTTACAGTACTACCCCTGAAAACATTATTATAAGACCTGATCAACTTTACATTCATCATTCAGGTTTGCCCAGTTCTAATTGATGCACTACACTTTTCCTTAGAAACTTTTGGCACGAAGCTTTAAATTCTTTCAGTTTGTCTCAGAGAGTAACATTTACTTTCTTCTACTGTCCTTGTACTCTTTATTTTATCATTGCTTTAGGAAAATAGTTTAACATCATATATATTTGATTTAGAAAGTTTGTTCTTCAAGGGGGTTGCCTTGGGTGTCAGTGAATAGCTCTTGATCCAGGGAATTAGAACTACCCTCATTTACCTCAGATCAAACCTGAATGCCTCCAGTTTCCCATGTGTTAAGCATCAATGGTATACAATACTAACAAGATTATGTAATTAGGCACATGTTGTATGACCCCTTTGGGTTTAGCACCTCCTGATGATAATGAATTACAAAGTTCATTATTATTAATTTTTGGCCCTCAATCACTAGGTTATATTAAAATGGTATATTAACATTCATGAGGCAGAGGATAACCCAGTAATCTTACCAGACTGCATATGAGATGATAAGTATGTTCTGTATATGTAATATTATTAGAATCATATAAAGCGCTAAACCAACAAGGGTCATGAAGAACACATCACTACATTCAGTTAAGTTGAAAAAGTCCATGACCACAAAGTAGATCTAAAATCGGGTTTTATAATATACAATAACAATTTAGTACTGCAACAATACTGAATATAATTATGTACATTATAGAAAGTGTGCAAATATCTCTTGTATAGGGACAAGTGGGGCTGTAAGGATCATGGCTGATAAGCCTGATGGGGTATACTGGGTACAGTGTATGGTAGAATTATTACTGAAAAGGCTAGGGTAAGCCAAAGTAGGATTGCAGAAGAGCAGAGAGGATTTAGGAAGGGTAGCAGATGTGTACAAAGCTTATACATGAACAGTACAATTACGAATTTGGAAAAGGCAAATGAATGGAATAGACAGGTTATGCAGAGAGTGAGGCTCATGTTAGGCTATGTCAGAGGGAGGTGGGTATACTATTTCCTACTGAAAATAGGACTTGGATATGGATGTATGTCACCATGGTTGTTTAACATATTTATAAAATGGGGTTGTAAAAGAAGTAAATATTAGGGTGCTTGGAAGAGGTGTGGGATTAGAAGATTTTGGATCTGATACAAAGTGGGAGTTATCACAGGTGCTTTTCACCTGTGAAGAAATGTTAAAATGTTGGTAGACAAATTTGGGAGGGTATGTAAAAGTAGGAAATGAAATGTGAATGTAGAAAAGAGCAAGCTTGGTGATGAGGGTAACAAAAAGTCTAGGCAAAGATTTGGCTGAATAGTAGGAGTACAGAGGAAGTAGACATGTCAGCAAATGGGTATGAAAGATGTGATGAACCATGGAACAGATGAGGGAAAAGATAAGTAGGTGTGGTGTTGAGGCATCACCAGAATGAAGTTTATGGAAGAAACAATTGGGAATGTATCATAGTATTGGTACCAACACTTTTGTGCGAGTGAGAGACATTGGCTTTGAACATTGCAGCAAGGAGGAAGCTAGAGGCAGCAGAGATGTCATGTTTAAGATCAATATGTGGTGTGAATATTATGCAGAGAGTTTGAAATTAAGACACTGTGGCATCACCATGGGAATAATTCAAAGGGCTGAGGATGGAGAGGGTTAGGATAGGATGACAAAGAGAGTACAGGCACTCCTCACCTAACAACTGAGTTCTGTTCTTAAGAGTAGGTTGGTAAGCAAATTGGTCGTTAAGCAAGGAGCCACCCCTTACTGATATTTGAAGCATACTGTACTGGTAGTGGGTTTGTGTCGCCCATCTTTAGATATTGTTTTAATGTCACTTTTGCACCATTTATAATATTTTTATTATAAAAATAGAACTAGGCATTAAAAAAGTAAAATACACATACAGTAGTACACTGGTCAGAAAGCAGGCAGTAACTCCAAGCAGTTGTTAAGTGAGGAGTACCTGTATATACACCAGGGGGGTGGAGGGTAGAAAGGAGGAAGGGGTCATCCCAGGAACAACAGTTGGAGGAAGGACATATAAGGGGCTTCAATTTTTCAAAGCACGAGCATCCAGCAGGCTTGAGTGAATGAAGATAGGTAGTTTTTTAATGGCTGTGCTGTTTGAGTGTGAGCCAGGTAACTTTCATAAGGGGATTCAGGGAAACTAGTTAGCAAGGGCAGTACCTGCACTCTGAAGGAGGGGTGGGGATGATGCAGTCTGAGGGTCATCTGACTGTAATGTCAACATGCTTCTAGAAAAATGGCAATGAATGAATGATGGTGAATGACTTTTCTGGGTCACCCCTGCCTTGCCAGGAGATGGCCACTGTTTTAAAACAAAACACACAGAGTATATCTATTATTAGTTCTGGGAATCATTGCTCCCTGTATCCTGGTCTCAGACCAGGACCCCAGAACTGAAAGTATTACGGTACTAAGAGCTATTAACCTGTTAACTGTCCAAACGTAGATCTATGTTCTTACTGCTAGCGCTCCAAACATAGATCTACGTTTTATTTTTCCTGCCTCCAAACTTGGCACGACTAGCCTGAGATGCCTGGTCAGCATAGAATGGGTCTTAACACTTGGTGTGTGCAGTATTAAAAAAATATGGGAGCACCAGTTCAAATGAGTGCCAGCTAGAGCAGACACCAAGGATTCACTGATGTCATGTCTCATATTAACACTCCCCTTTTAAGAGGAAAGTGATGTAGAACCCGAGTTAAATGGCTTTGAGGTGGATGTGGTAGTAGAAATATCAAAAACCTCAATAGTAACCCACGTGCATCATTTGTGCAACACCCTTTCAATTTTGGTATCACTGGTAGTGTCATCTAAGTAAAAAGAAACAATTCTGGAACGTGTAATAAGTGTCCAGCAGGCTGGCTGGCCATCTCTATCTCCGTCTGTCTGTCTGTATCTATCTCTGTCTCTATCTCACAGGTACATATACATAAATATAATTATACATAGTGTAAAGTACCTAGGATAACCTAAAAAATCTAAACAAAGTGGTATATTGTGCTTGTAGATATAATGCATAATAAGCATGACTTGCAATTGGCAAGTAATACGCATTTTCACTTGTCCAGGAATCAGATGTGATCGTGTGTAATACCAGTTGGTTCATGAGCAACTCTGAGACAAGCAGACAGATAGAAAAACAAACACACAAAGGCAGACAGAAAGACATGTTTATGTGTAACTGAAAAATAAAGCCAGAGTTCCATGCAGCAGTGCACGTTCATCGTGTCACTCCACTGCTTACCCTCTGAGCAGTTTAGTAACACCAGTCTTAACACCATGCTTCAAGGAGTTTCATATATACTCCAGCATATCTAAAACATTGCTGGGACCTATAAATACTTTGTATATATGACCAAGGCAGGTGTAAATGTTGACCTGTCAGTGTATTTGTGACAATTTGAGTATAATTTCAGTACCTAATACAGTGGACCCTCTGTTAATGATATTTTTTCACTCCAGAAGTATGTTCAGGTGCCAGTACTGACCGAATTTGTTCCCATAAGAAATATTGTGAAGTAGATTAGTCCATTTCAGACCCCCAAACATACACGTACAAATGCACTTACATAATTGGTCACATTCGGAGGTAATCGTTATGCGGGGGTCCACTGTATTAATGTCAGAACAAAGATTGGCTATGAAATCACAAGAACTACTATAAATTGTAATTATCAGAACATAAAAATTATATAAAATAATATAAAAACAAGAAAAAAAGGTATATCTGCAACACTTCTGCAAGCGGCAGGACTCCATGCTGCCGTCAGGTGAGCATCCAGTGCCAACTTCACAGTCTTATATCGGTAAGTACCGCCTAAAAAAAATTTTTGTTGGTCTTATTACACAGAAAATTGCCCTCTTTATTATTTTTTTATTTTTTTTTTAAATATTCGAAGAGCTGGGCGAGCAAACAGATCTACGTTTGAACAGTGAACAAGTTAAGGAATATGCAGGAAAGTAAAATTAAGTTTACGGTACTGAATGTAAGACTTGCCTGCTATTTTATAGTCATGAGACATATACCAGCAATCCTGCCAGAATGCAAAAATCTTTATTCACACTCGCATGAGAGTAGTACCTGGATGGTTACTGTCTACCAACCTGCTAACTTACTTAACATTTGAAAAAGAATTTAAATTAACACTGATTAAGGGTTGATACTGAAGTTCTTGGCACATTGTTATTTTATTTGTGGGAAAGCACAAAACCCATAGGGGTTCATAAATTGCCTGGGAAAAGGAAGGCCCATTCTCCTTGCTGTGAAGCTCTAAATGACCCTGTTGGGTTTAGTGCTTTTTCATGATTATTATTCTACAGTACAATATGCATAGGTTTTAAATTAAGTTGTAATTAAATACTGTACAGTGGTCCCTCGTTTATCGTCGTTAATCCGTTCCTGGAAGTGTGACAATTAATGAAAAAGACGATTTTCGAATCAATTTTCCCCATAAGAAATAATGTAAATACAATTAATCCATTCCTGACACCCAGAAGTATTAAAACAAAAATTTTTACATGAAATATAGATGTAGTACATAAACAATACAATGGGACATGATGAATGAAACATTAACAGCATAACACTTACCTTTATTGGCGATTCTTCCTAGTGTATGGAAGACTGGAGGAGGAGAGAGATTGGATTAGTTACTGTTTGGAAGGGGAATCCCCTTCCATCAACACCCTAGGTACCAAGTCCTTTTCTGGGGTTACTTCTCTGTTTCTTAATGCCACTAGGATCAGCTTGAGAGTCACTGGAGTCCTGTCTTGCAAAAAAAAAGTGTCCAGAGAGCTCTGTTTCTGGCATCTCTTTAAAACTTCCCTAAAATGGGCCAAGACTCTGTCACTTACGAATTTTGTAGCTGCAATTTTGTCCGAACTGGCAGCCTCACCATGCCTTATCACACTGTGTACGCCACTACGCTTCTTAAATCTCTCAAACCAACCTTTGCTGGCCTTAAATTCACAATATCAGTACTCGTTGCAGGCAATTTCTTTACCAGATCATCATGCAACTGCCTAGCCTTTTCACAAGACTATCTCCTGCTAATTGTTTCTCATTTATCCACACCAATAATAACTTCTCAACTTCTTCGAGTACTGTTGATTTCGTTTTTGTCAGCATATTTACCCCCTTTGCAACAACAGCTTCCTTGATTTCCTTTTTCTTGGCCACGATGGAAGATATGGTTGTATGGGCTTTGTTATACATCCTTGCCAGTTCAGCCACATGTACGCCACTTTCATATTGTTCAATGATGTTTTTCTTAAATTCAATTGTATTTCTCACCTTCTTTACCAAAGGAGCTTTCTTTGGAGCCATGGTAGCTTATTTAGCACTTGCAAGCACTAAAATGAATGGAATATTATGAAATATTTCATATGAACACGTGAGGGGACTGTCGCTCACTGGCAAACAATGGCACACTGGCTGGGAAGGGAGGCCGAGGTGGCTCAGAGCCGTGAGTACACATCCAGGACGAACGATGATTAGCGAGTCAACTGACCATTTGCGAGCCAATGTTTGGACTAAAATAACGCGACGATTTACGAAAAGGACGACTATCGAGCCTGACTATTATCGAGGGACCACTGTAAGTGTAAAAGAAAACGTGGTTTAGAAACTCCGTGTGATCAATTGTGCAAGAAACTGAATGTAGAAAATCTATTTGCTTCTTATCTTTAAAGATTAACAGTTCCATTTTATTTATTAAAATGTAAGGTTCTTTTTTAATTTTATGTTTTCCTTGAAAAGCTTTTATAATGTTGAAATTTTGACAATTATTTTAGTTATGATCATGAAATGTACAAAAGCTAGTCAGTGTAGCTGCGTATAACTAATTAGTGCATCAAAGTGATGGTGATGTACAGTTTGTGTAATGTATGTATATTATGCAATTGTATGCTTTATTAGGCTAGCTCCTCAAGGGAGGTTCCTTGATGCTGGTGAGGGGCTCTTGATCTAGGGGATTGGATCTGTGCTCCAGTTCCCTGAATTGAGCCTGAATACCTTCCATCTCCACCCCCCCCCCCACATGTGCTGTATAATCCTATGGGTTTAGCGCTCCCCCATAATTATAATATTAAGCTAGAGGATTTTCACCTGTAACAGATATGTTGTTTTAGAGTAAATTAAAGTATGTACACTATATGAAATAAATTACCAACTCAATGCTTGTTTCAATTTTACATACTAAGGGTTGCAAAAATAGTTACACGAGATGTTCAGAGCAAAAAAAATTGTGTTACATTATATAATACACTGCTAATTATTAGGGTTCAGCCATGTGCAGGAGCAATCCTAATGTGTGTATACATGGTACATTTAGAAGCCCCTCATAGGTTGTCAGTGAAGGTGGCTTTTTTTTTAATATACAATAACATCAGAATGTGTAAACATAGTGGAGTTCATAACATGCCTTCTTCTAAAATGGTAAAAAATACTTTTTCTAAAGATGAATACACCAAAAATGCAAAATTTGATATAATACTTACGGAATTACACAGACGCAAAGTTAAGGCCAGGAGTGCTTTATGCAACAGCAAGTTTGCTCAATTTGAGGCATATTTTGAAACAATGCTAGTGCTCAACCCGACCCCATTCCTGGTTGGTTTGCTAGCATGTCTTCTGAACTACTGAGATAAGAAACTGCCCATTCAATCATCAAAACTACCATATAAGGCACACTATTTTTGGACAAATTCCAGTTTAAAAACAAGAGTCTAAACTAAACACTGTAGGCATATCAGCCACTAGAGCAACTCTGTTAATCATGTCCCCAGGCCTTTCATATATAATACTATTCCTCCATTTTCAATTCATCATCAAAAAATAACCAAGAATGCTTAGTCATAGTATAGAACATCGAAATCATTGCAGCAGACCTAGCAAAAACCCATAAAACATACTAAAGGGGAAGGGAGGCACATACCCTTCTCCAAGCAAATGAACCAAAATCAACCATTTCTGGTACGAAACTGACCAAAGTCTTTTCCGTTTCACTAGTATGTCTGGTTTACCTACTGGTACCACAAAATAGCCCATAAAACCATGAAAACTACTATAGAAAATGCCCTGAGGTTGCTATTTTAACCCAAACACAAGGTCAGAGGTTAGGTATTCCTATCATGCACTGTTAGGGGGAAGACACCCACTGCACAGATGCATTCTCTCATGCCTAAGCCAAAACTCAGCTGCTGCTATGAATTATGCATAGACCAACATAAGCAACACTGATTCTACTTATGGAGATCTATTTAACTAACAGTGACAGGGTTAGCATCAAATCAGAATAATATACTGTAAATATTTTTGTCTTGTCATTTCCTAGTAGCTTTTATATAAAAGACATGATAGGTTTTGTAAATGAGCTGACAATAAAGACTGATGAGTTTTTGAGTTCTGTGTGATGAGTGGAACAGTCGAGACCTGAATAAGACTATTTCATGTAAATTCTAGATGACCAAAATGATTTATGAGACACAACAAAGTAACTTTTCTACACGATGAAGATTTACTTTTGTGAAAGACAAAAGTTGTTCCATTACATGAAATGATACAGCAATGGTAAACAGAAGACAAGCAGCAGACCAAAATACAGTGGACCCCCAACTTACGATATTAATTTGTTCCAGAAGGCTGTTCAGGTGCCATTACCGAACGAATTTGCTCCCATAAGGAATACTGTAAATTAGATTAGTCCGTTTCAGACCCCCAAAAATACACTTAAAAAAGCACTTAAAAAATACACTTACATAATTGTTCGAGTTGGGAGCTGATCGTAAGTCGGGGGTCCACTGTACTTAAATCTAAGGATACAGTAATGTTCAATAAACAGGCTTTCTAAATTTGGGAGGATATATAAAAGAAGGAAATTATGAGTGAACATAGGAAAGAGCAAGGTAATGAGAGTAAGGAAAATTTTAGGTAATGATGGATTAGAGGGAAGAAGTATAGAGGAAGTAACTGTGTTTAGATATTTGGGAATGGTTGTATTGGCATAAGGGTTAATGAAAGATGAGTTGAACCATATAATTAATGAGGGGAAAAAAAGGGAGTTGATGCACTGAGACATCTGTGGCAATAAGGAACCTTATCTACGAAGAGAAAAAATGGGAATGTACCAGAGTACAGTCTCTCCTCACTTAATGACAGAGTTCTGTTCCTAAGACCACATTGGTCAATGAATTCGTCGCTAAGTGAGGAGCATACTATAATGTTAGTGGGCTTGTGTCAACCATCTCTGATATTGTTTTAATGTCACCTCTGTGCCATTTATAACATTTTTAGTATATTTTTAAATGTTTATACAGTAGTGTATTGTATACAGCCTCTCCTCACTTAGCAATGTGCTCGTTTATCGGTGACTCAGACTTACATACCTAAATAATGTGTATTAGAGCTGATTTCCTCTGTTCTGTTTATTACAATATACAATTCACTACTGTATAAACATTTAAATATATGTATACTAAAAATGTTATAAATGGTGCAAAGGTGACATTAAAACAATACCAAAGATGGATGACACAAACCCATTACCATTGTGGTAGTCTACAAGCCTCCGGATGCAACGTCCCAGCAATTCCAGGAACAGCTGTCAAAAATTGACCACTGTCTGGAAAATCTCCAGCTCCTGCCCCCAACATCTTGCTTCTGGGGGATTTCAACTTGAGGCACCTAAAATGGAGGAATATAGCAAATAATGTTGTTGCAGTGATAACACCAGGAGGCAGCTCTGACAAGAACTCACACACACACACGAGCTTTTAAATCTCTGCACAAAATTCAACTTAAACCAGCAAATAATAGAGCCTACTAGACTGGAGAATACACTAGACCTCATTTTCACTAACAATGATGATCTGATACAAAATGTCACCATATCAAAAACAATATACAGTAGACCCCCGGCATACGATGGCATCGGCATACGTTAAATCCGGCATACGATACATTTTGCCTCGCCTCACGTTAAAAAACTCACCTCACACGATTTGTCCGAGACGCGTACCATGTGTGGCCTCAGCGCCAGTGTTCACAAGCCAGCCAGTGCGGTTGCATCTATGCATACATTCGGTACATTTCACATTATCCCAGTGTTTTTAGTGCTTGTAACTACAAAAAAAGCCACCATGGACCCCAAGAAAGCTTCTAGTGCCATCCCTGTGGTAAAAAGGGTGAGAATTAGTATGGAATTGAAAAAGAGATTAAGGAAATGTGTGCAAAGTGGCTTGAGGTGCAAACCTTTATGGATGAAAATCACCCTCACACAGCTATTGCAAGCCGTGCTGGTGACTATTACAATGACAATGTTGTGAACCACTTTAGACAAATCATAAAGGAACGAGAGGTACAGGCCTCTGTGGACAGATATGTTGTGCGACAGAAGTCCGCTGACTCTCAAGCTGGTCCTAGTGGCATTAAAAGAAGAAGGGAAGTAACCCCGGAAAAGGACTTGATACCTCAAGTCCTAATGGAAGGGGATTCCTCTTCTAAACAATAAGTTCAACATTCTCCTCTCCTCCCATTCCATCAATCATCACCAGATTTTCATTAAAGGTAAGTGTCATGTATTCAATTGTTAGTAGAGTACTACTTACTGTGCATGCCTTCTTCAGTTTGTGTGCATTAAACTTAATATTTCATGCAGTAAAACTTTTTTTTTTCATACTTTTGGGTGTCTTGCACGGATTAATTTGATTTCCATTATTTCTTATGGGGAAAATTAATTCGCCTTATGATAATTTCGGCATACAATGAGCTCTCAGGAACGGATTAATATGGTATGCTGGGGGTCCACTGTACTCAGATCACAACATAATCAAGGTTCAGACATGTATGTGCAGAGCCCCAGACCGACAAAATGAGATTAGTCACGAGGGAGCCTTCACCAAATTCAACTTCAATAGGAAGAACATAAAGTGGGACCAAGTAAATCAAGTCCTAAATGATATAAGCTGGGAAGATAGACTAAGCAACACAGACCCCAACTTATGCCTAGAACAGATTAACTCGGTGGCACTCGATGTATGCTCAAGGCTTATTCCTTCAAGAAAAAGGAGGAGTAGATGTAAAATAGAAAGAGACAAGTGCTCCCTTTACAGGCGATGGAAAAGAATAACAGCAGCTAAAAGAGGCCAATATATCTGAAATGCATAGGGAGTCACTGGTCAGAGAAATAGCAAACAGCGAACTTAAGCTAAAGGAATCTTATAGGAGTCAGGAATCGCGGGAAAAACTAAAAACCATAAATGAAATAGTAAGAAACCAAAAGTAGTATCTCTTTTCTTATGCCAAATCAAAGTCGAGAACAACATCCAATATTGGGCCCCTACTTAACCCTTTCAGGGTCCAAGGCCAAAATCTGAAGTGGTGCTCCAGTGTCCAAGAAATTTTGAAAAAAAAAAAAAAAATTCTTACAGAATTAAAGAGTTATATTTTTGTGAAGGTAATAAGACAAAAAAAAAAATTCTGATCAGTACTTACCGAGATACAGTGCCGAGAAGTTTATCCAAAATGACCGGGTGGCGGCAACATCGACGATTTCCACATACACGCATTACTTTATTTAACGTTCTTTGTAGTTTTTTCTTTTCTTTCTAATTGTTTTCTTTTCCTATTAACATTTGGGGCCTCAGAGACCAATACTGTATTTTTTTTTTTTTTCTCAACAAGTCGGCCTTCTCCCACCGAGGCAGGGTGACCCAAAAAAGAAAGAAAATCCCCAAAAAGAAAATACTTTCATCATCATTCAACACTTTCACCACACTCACACATTATCACTGTTTTTGCAGAGGTGCTCAGAATACAACAGTTTAGAAGCATACACATATAAAGATACACAACATTTCTCTCCAAACTGCCAATATCCCAAACCCCTCCTTTAAAGTGCAGGCATTGTACTTCCCATTTCCAGGACTCAAGTCCGATTATATGAAAATAACCGGTTTCCCTGAATCCCTTCACTAAATATTACCCTGCTCACACTCCAACAGATTGTCAGGTCCCAAATACCATTTGTCTCCATTCACTCCTATCTAACACGCTCATGCACGCTTGCTGGAAGTCCAAGCCCCTTGCCCACAAAACCTCCTTTACCCCCTCTCTCCAACCCTTTCGAGGACGACCCCTATCCCGCCTTCCTTCCCCTATAGATTTATATGCTTTCCATGTCATTCTACTTTGATCCATTCTCTCTAAATGACCAAACCACCTCAACAACCCCTCTTCTGCCCTCTGACTAATACTTTTATTAACTCCACACCTTTTCCTAATTTCCACACTCCGAACTTTCTGCATAATATTTACACCACACATTGCCCTCAAACAGGACATCTCCACTGCCTCCAACCATCTCCTCGCTGCTGCATTTACCACCCAAGCTTCGCACTCATATAAGAGTGTTGGTACTACTATACTTTCATACATTCCCTTCTTTTCCTCTATACATAACGTTTTTTGACTCCACATATACCTCAACGCACCACTCACCTTTTTTCCCTCATCAATTCTATGATTAACCTCATCCTTCATAAATCCATCCGCCTACATGTCAACTCCCAAGTACAGTGGACCCCCGCATAACGATGGCATCGCATACCGATTTTTCACAGCATAACATTTACTTTTATTGCAAAATTTTTGACCCGCTAACCGATTAAAAACCCGCATACCTGAATTTTTCTGTCGAGACGTCCAAGAGTCCCTCACATGTCCGGCCTTCCCATTGTTTACCAGCCATCCTCCGCGGTAACATCCAAGCATACACTCGGAATATTTCGTATTATTTCAGTGTTTTTCGGTGGTGTTTTCTGGAAAATAAGGTGACCATTTGCCCCAAGAAAGCTTCTAGTGCCAACCCTGTGGTAAAAAGGGTGAGAATTAGTATGGAAATTTAAAAAGATTTTGAAGGGTTTAGGCTAACCCTGAGAAGCCTATGCCAGTTGTGGAATCCATTGTGCCTACTTCAAAGATTTAGGAAATGTGTCAGATGGTTTGAACTGCAAACCTTTATAGATGAAAATCACCCTGACACAGCTGTTGCAAGCCGTGCTTGTGACTATTTCAATGACAATGTTATGGCCCATTTTAGGAAAGTCTAAAAGGAGGACAGAGCTCTATGGACAGATTTGTTGTCGAAGAGGTCCATGACTCTGAAGCTGTTCTCTTGGCATTCAAACAAAAGGAAAACCCCAAAAGCTTTCTCCCCAAGTCCTAATAAGGGATTCCCTTCAAACTAAAAGATAAGCCTCCCCTCCTCCAATTACACACCAGATCTTCAATAAAAAATGTCATGTAATTGCTCCAGCTGGTTTAATTTAAAATAACATTTCGGTAAAAAAATTTATTTTCATACTTTGGCGTCTTGCCGGATTATTTTATTCATTATTTCTTTGGAAATTAATTCGCATAACCATTTTTCTCATAACTATGATCCCACCCTTCACATAAAACCCGCCTACCATGCCCAACTGTATCTGAAACATTCACTTCTTCCATACTCCTCCTCCCCAATTTGATATCCAATTTTTCTTTATCTAAATCTTTTGATACCCTCATCACCTTACTCTTTTCTATGTTCACTTTCAACTTTCTACCTTTACACACATTCCCAAACTCATCCACTAACCTTTGCAATTTTTCTTTAGAATCTCCCATAAGCACAGTATCATCAGCAAAAAGTAACTGTGTCAATTCCCATTTTGAATTTGATTCCCCAAAATTTAATCCCACCCCTCTCCCGAACACCCTAGCATTTACTTCCTTTACAACCCCATCTATAAATATATTAAACAACCATGGTGACATTACACATCCCTGTCTAAAGACCTACTTTTACCGGGAAGTAGTCTCCCTCTCTCTACACACCCTAACCTGAGCCTCACTATCCTCATAAAAACTCTTTACAGCATTTAATAACTTACCACCTATTCCATATACTTGCAACATCTGCCACATTGCTCCTTTATCCACTCTATCATATGCCTTTTCTAAATCCATAAATGCAATAAAAACTCCCCTACCTTTATCTAAATACTGTTCACATATATGCTTCAATGTAAACACTTGATCTACACATCCCCTACCCACTCTGAAACCTCCTTGCTCATCCGCAATCCTACATTCTGTCTTACCTCTAATTCTTTCAATTATAACCCTACCGTACACTTTTCCTGGTATACTCAGTAAGCTTATTCCTCTATAATTTTTACAGTCTCTTTTGTCCCCTTTCCCTTTATATAAAGGGACTATACATGTTTCTCCGCCAATCCCTAGGTACCTTCCCCTCTTTCATACATTTATTAAACAAAAGTACCAACCACTCCAACACTATATCCCCCCCTGCTTTTAACATTTCTGTCATGATCCCATCAGTTCCAGCTGCTTTACCCCCTTTCATTTTACGTAATGCCTCACGTACCTCCCCCACACTTACATTCTGCTCTTCTTCACTCCTAAAAGATGGTATACCTCCCTGACCAGTGCATGAAATTACTGCTTCTGTTTCTTCCTTAACATTTAAAAGTTCCTCAAAATATTCTCGCCATCTACCCAATACCTCCATCTCCCCATCTACTAACTCCCCTACTCTGTTTTTAACTGACAAATCCATATTTTCCCTAGGCTTTCTTAACTTGTTTAATTCACTCCAAAATTTTTTCTTATTTTCATTAAAATTTCTTGACAGTGCCTCTCCCACTCTATCATCTGCTCTCCTTTTGCACTCACTCACCACTCTCTTTACCTTTCTTTTACTCTCCATATACTCTGCTCTTCTTATAACACTTCTGCTTTGTAAAAACCTCTCATAAGCTACCTTTTTCTCTTTTATCACACCCTTTACTTCATCATTCCACCAATCACTCCTCTTTCCTCCTGTTCCCACCCTCCTATAACCACAAACTTCTGCCCCACATTCTAATACTGCATTTTTAAAACTATTCCAACCCTCTTCAACCCCCCCACTACTCATCTTTGCACTAGCCCACCTTTCTGCCAATAGTCGCTTATATCTCACCCGAACTTCCTCCTCCCTTAGTTTATACACTTTCACCTCCCTCTTACTTGTTGTTGCCACCTTCCTCTTTTCCCATCTACCTCTTACTCTAACTGTAGCTACAACTAAATAATGATCCGATATATCAGTTGCCCCTCTATAAACATGTACATCCTGGAGCCTACCCATCAACCTTTTATCCACCAATACATAATCTAATAAACTACTTTCATTACGTGCTACATCATACCTTGTATATTTATTTATCCTCTTTTTCATAAAATATGTATTACTTATTACCAAATTTCTTTCTACACATAGCTCAATTAAAGGCTCCCCATTTACATTTACCCCTGGCACCCCAAATTTACCTACTACTCCCTCCATAACATTTTTACCCACTTTAGCATTGAAATCCCCAACCACCATTACTCTCACACTTGATTCAAAACTCCCCACGCATTCACTCAACATTTCCCAAAATCTCTCTCTCTCCTCTACACTTCTCTCTTCTCCAGGTGCATACACGCTTATTATAACCCACTTTTCACATCCAATCTTTATTTTACTCCACATAATCCTTGAATTAATACATTTATAGTCCCTCTTTTCCTGCCATAGCTTATCCTTCAACATTATTGCTACTCCTTCTTTAGCTCTAACTCTATTTGAAACCCCTGACCTAATCCCATTTATTCCTCTCCACTGAAACTCTCCCACCCCCTTCAGCTTTGTTTCACTTAAAGCCAGGACATCCAGCTTCTTCTCATTCATAACATCCACAATCATCTCTTTTCTTATCATCTGCACAACATCCACGCACATTCAGACTTCCCACTTTGACAATTTTCTTCTTCTTATTCTTTTTAGTAATCTTTACAGGAAAAGGGGTTACTAGCCCATTGTTCCCGGCATTTTAGTTGACTTTTACAACACGCATGGCTTACGGAGGAAAGATTCTTATTCCACTTCCCCATGGATATAAAAGGAAAATTAATAAGACCAAGAACTATTAAGATAAAATCAAAGAAAACTCAGATGAGTGTGTATAAATAAATGTGTACATGTATGTGTAGTGTGACCTAAGTGTAAGTAGAAGTAGCAAGACATGCCTGTAATCTTGCATATTTATGAGACAGACAAAAGACATCAGCAATCCTACCATCATGTAAAACAATCACAGGCTTTCATTTTACACTCACTTGGCATACTTGTACACATAAATTCTAGCACCTTCAAATCGAGTGGGAGAAAGCTGGTAGGCCTACATGTGAGAGAATGGGCCTGTGTAGTCAGTGTGCGCTGTATAAAAAAAAATCGGGGCACCTGCATTGCATTGTGGGAGTAATTCAATGCGCCTTTGTCACCAAGTCATGCAGTAAGGAATACCTCACTCTCTGGCGAATTGGGACTCTTCCCTTCTCAAATGATAGTTCTAACACAGACTGATGTGTCATTGAAGATGAATCTAATGGTTTTGAGGGGTTTGTGACAGAAAGTAATAAACAGGATACCAGAAATAGTGATGAAAACCCACAGCATTATCAACCTTCCACTAAAAAAAGTCAGAGTGACTTATTTGCATGTGGGTGGTGGGGAAGACAGCATACTTGGTGGGGAAGACAGTGTGGGTGGTGGGGAAGACAGTGTGGGTGGTGGGGAAGGAAGTTTGAGTTTGTGCAAACACAGCCACACATGTGTAGATTACCTAGAATAACCCAGAAAAGTCAAAGTGACTTATTTGCATGTGGGTAGTGGGGAAGACAGTGTGGGTAGTGGGGAAGGCAGTGTGGGTTTGTGTAAACACAGCCACACATGTGTAGATTACCTAGGATAACCGAAAAATGTCAGACGAAGTGACTTATTTGCGTGTGGGTGGTGGGGAAGGCAGTGTGGGTTTGTGTAAACATAGCAACATATGTGTAGATTACCTAGGATAATCCAAAAAAGTCAGACAAGTGACTTATTTGCGTGTGGGTGGTGAGAAAGACAGCATAGTTGGTGGGGAGGGCAGTATGGTTAGTGGGGAAGGGAACGTGGGTTTGTGTAAACAACATGGCTGGCTGGCAGGCTGATTGGCTGTCTATCTGTCTGTAGCTAAATCTGTCTCTATCTCTGTCTCTGTCTCGTAGGTACACATAAATACAATTATACATAGCGTAAATTACCTAGAATAACCCAAAAAATCCAGACAAAGTGCTATTATGTGCTTGTAGATATAATGCATAGTAAGGCATGACTGGCAAGTAATACATATTTACACTTGCTCAGGAATCAGACTGCGTCGTGTGTAATACCTGTTGGTTCACGAGTGGCACTCTCTGAGAAGAGAGAGAGACAAGCAGAGAGACAGAGAGAGAAGCAGACAGAGAGACAGACAGACAGATAAGCAGAGACAGAGATAAACAGAGAGCTAGACAGATAGACAGACATGTTTATGTGTAACTGTGAAAACAAAGTCAAGACTCATCAAATGTCACCCTGCTGTACTGTGTCAACAGTGTGGGATGACACTTGTCTTACACTATGCTTCAAGGAAGCATCATTATTATTATTATTATTATTATTATTATTATTATTATTATTATATACTCCCGCATATCCAAAACATTGCTGGGACCTATGAATACTATGTATACATTTCTAGACAATAGTATGTGACTAAGTCCATTGCACGCTATGCAAAAACTCAATGCACATAAAAGGCCCTAAAATCTGGAATTCATTACCTGTAAATATAAAAGAAACACTACCTGTTTATAAATTCAAGTCTCTTCTCAAAGATCACTTACTCACCCAAAACCAAATAAATACTGAATAACTGAACCTTATAAATTGTATATCTTAGATGCTTCTCACAATTATATCACATAAATGTTAAACCTAGGACCCAATCTAACTTTGTTATTTTTTAAATACACTACCTAACAGAATACTCCATTCTACTGAATGTACAGCAATGCATGCAACCATATGACCTGTCTTTGTAATACTCATTTGTGCTTTATTGTTATCTGTTTACAATAATTTTTATCACTGATTACATCATTGCTTAGTTAATCTTAAGTTAATTTTAAGCCTGCCAGTAATGCTATGCATACAAGTGGCTTTGGCATGCTGCTCTTACCTGTATTTTTTGTACTTCTGTATGTATGTTCAAATTATTAAATAAATAAGGTACAGTGGAACCCCAAGTTTCGGCCGTAATCTGTTCCAGGAGCTAAGCCTAAACTCTATAAACGATTGAAAGATGAAGCAATATTTCCCATAAGAAATAATGTATAAATAAAATTAATCCAATTCCAGACCCACAAAAATATTCACAAAAAATAAATTTTTTAAAGAATAACTATAGTTTTACATACACACAACACAGATAAATACATATACTAGTATACAATAGATAAATAAAAATTTAAATAAACATTTTAAATGACATTTACTTACCTTTATTGAAGAGACTTGCTGGCATCTAGAAGATGCCAGCACAGAACAAAAGAGTTAGGTCCTCTTTGGCATTTTCTTCCAAAACAGGCCTGTTTCATCACAGCTAAACACTTGTTGGGGTTTGAATTTTTCAGTCTACGTACCCCTTAAATTCATGCACAAATTTTTCAGCTGCCTGGCTGGCTGGTTGCTTGGCTGACTGGCTGCCTGCCAGATAGATGAGCTAAGATTACTTGCAAGTGTAGGTAATATAGATATTATTGGTATAACAGAGACCTGGTTCAACCTGAAAGATAGAGAAATGCCTTCTGAATGCAACATACAGGGTTATAAACTATCCCACACTGATAGGGCCAACAGGAAGGGTGGTGGTGTATGTCAGAAAAATTTAAATTGTTGTCTTAAATATGAAAGAAGATTAGAAACATCGAACACAGAATCTGTTTGGCTACAGTTTCTTGAGGGACGTGACAAATTAATTTTGGGTGTGATTTATCGGCCCCCAAACCTAGATAGGGAGTGCAGTAAGCTGTTATGGGACGAAATTCATAAGGCATCTAGATATGAAAATGCTGTGATAATGGGAGATTTTAACTTTAGACAAATTGATTGGAACAATATGACAGGAAACTTGAGTCTATTGACTTTCTTGATACGGTTCAGGATTGCTTTTTAGAACAGGTTGTGACAGAACCAACTAGAGGAAACAGTGTACTTGACTTGGTTCTTGCCAACAAAGAGTCACTAATTAATAATATTGAGGTTAATGATGAGCTTGGGGAAAGTGATCACAAATCACTTAGTTTCAATATATCATGGAATTACACAGATAACTGCAATCAAATCTCTGTCCCAGATTTTCGCTTGGCCGACTTCATGGGACTGAAAAATTACCTGGGTGGGCTAAATTGGGATGTCCTGACTATGGGTCAGGTAGGGTTGCCAATATGACGTTTTTCAGACAACTTTTGTTCCGAGTAGAGAAATTAGATCTAACAAAAATGATCCCAAATGGACGAACAATAGATTGAAGCATCTCATTGGTCAAAAGAGAGGCATATATAGACATATCAAAAGAGGGGATGGGCAGTTAACCCCTTGATTGTTGCAACCCCAATCCTGAGGTGTCTCCTGGTGTCACAAAATTTAAAAAAAAAAAAAAAATTATTTTTTCTTATGAAATGATAGATAATCTTTTCCCGATTGTAATGACACCAAAAAAAACGAAAAAACTAACGGAATTACACTCTCACGAAGTTAGTGACCTCGGCGATATTTAAAAACCGGCGATTTTGCCTACTTTGAGCTCTATTTTCAACTAATTCCAGTGTTCCAGTCGACCAAACTCATAGCTATTTCTTTAGAACTCCGTTTTTTCTATCGATTAAGTACAAGAAACTGCCCATTTACCAATTTCAACTACCCAATAACGTGGTCAGAAATTTGCAATTTGGCCAATTTCACGAAAATTAAAAAAATATGACGATTTCAAAATAAGGTCCAGAATGAACAATGCAGACATTTCTGGCTCTAAAATAACATTTTCTTTGTTCATCAGTCACGTCTCCAGGCCCCTCTGATATTACTCTTGCTTTCTATTTTGAATTTTTATTAAAAAAAAAATAGAACATTTACTGTTATGCAGACTACTGCAATACTGTAATAATTGTACAAATAATGTCAACCCATTCATGACTGCATATTAGAATGGCTAGTTGGACATTTATTGGACAATGACATCATTTGTTTACTTTTGAACATCGGCAAAAATCAAACATTTCCCCTATTTTGAGCTCCATTTCCAGGTTCTTTTTATAGTAAAACCAATCAAAATCACCTCTATTTCTATAATATGTTTTCCATTCTATCGAATGAGACCACGAAAACGAGAATACAACAATAAATACTATACGAAAATAGACCACAAAGTCGGCATTTTAATTAAAAAAAAAGGTTAGGTTTTTTTTTCTCATTATGCACTGCGTGCTCCAGGATGTTTTTTATATGGTGCACACTGACCACACAGACCCATTCTCTCATATGTTGGCCTACCAGCTTTCTCCTGCTTGATTTGAAGCCACTAGAATTTATGAGTATATATACGCCAAACACGGTACCTCGTAAGACGTATATATACGACCAAAACAGTCAAAGGGTTAAGAAAACAATATATTCAATTAAAGAGAGAAATAAAGAGAGGAATAAGAAAAGCAAAAAGGGATTATGAGGCTAAGGTCGCAAGGGATTCAAAGACTAACCCAGGTATACAGGTATACAGAAGTAAGATTAGGGACAAGATTGGCCCACTTAAGAGTAACTCTGGTCAGATCACTGACAGTGATAAGAATATGTGTGAAATTCTCAATACCTACTTCCTCTCAGTTTTCACCCAGGAAAATACTAGCGATATTCCTGAAATAAGAGATTATGTAGAACAGGATGATAATAAACTATGCACGATTGTGGTAACTAGTGTCATGGTCCTCAGACAAATAGAGAAACTAAAACCTAACAAATCCCCAGGTCCTGATGAACTGTTTGCAAGGGTGTTAAAGGAATGTAAAAAGGAACTTAGCATACTTTTGACTAATCTTTTTAACATATCACTACAAACTGGCATAGTGCCTGATAAGTGAAAAATGGCAAATGTAATACCTATTTACAAGGCAGGTGACAGGTCCTTGACTTCAAACTATAGACCAATAAGCCTTACCTCCATAGTGGGAAAATTTATGGAATCAATAATTGCCGAAGCAATTCGTAGCCATCTTGATAGGCACAGATTGATTAATGAATCTCAACACGGTTTTACAAAGGGGCGTTTCTGTCTTACGAATTTACTAACTTTTTTCACTAAGGTGTTTGAGGAGGTAGATCATGGTAATGAATATGATACTGTGTATATGGACTTCAGTAAGGCTTTCGATAGAGTTCCACACCAGAGGCTACTGAGGAAACTTAAGGCACACGGAATAGGAGAAATTTTTTCCTGGGTAGAGGCATGGCTGACAAATAGGCAGCAGAGAGTTTGCATAAATGGGGAGAAATCAGAATGGGGGCACATCACAAGCGGTGTTCCTCAGGGGTCAGTGTTGGGCCCGTTGTTGTTCACAATTTACATAAACGACATAGATGAGGGAATAAATAACACCATAAGCAAATTTGCTGATGACACCAAAATAGGCCATCCAATTCATTCTAATGAGGACACTAGAGCACTCCAGGATGATTTGAATAGACTGATACAATGGTCGGAGAAGTGGCAGATGCAGTTTAATATTGACAAATACAAAGTTCTAAATGTTGGACAGGTAAATAACCATGCCACATATAAACTAAATACGTAATGTAGATCTTAATACTACTGATTGCAAAAAGGATTTAGGAGTTCTGGTTAGCAGTAATCTAAAACCAAGACAACAGTGCATTAGTGATTGCAATAAAGCTAACAGAATTCTTGGCTTCATATCTAGAAGTATAAATAATAGAAGTCCTCAGGTTCTTCAACTTTATATATCCTTGGTTAGGCCTCATTTAGACTATGCTGCTCAGTTCTGGTCACCATATTACAGAATGGACATAAATGCTCTGGAAAACATACGGAGGAGGATGACAAAGATGATCCCATGTATCAGAAATCTTCCTTATGAGGATAGACTGAGGGCCCTGAATCTGCACTCTCTCGAAAGGCATAGAATTAGGGGGGATATGATCGAGGTGTATAAATGGAAAACAGGAATAAATAAAGGGGATGTAAATAGCGTGCTGAAAATTTCCATCCAAGACAGGATTTGCAGCAATGGTTTCAAGTTGGAAAAATTCAGATTCAGGAAGGATATAGGAAAGCACTGGTTTGGTAATAGAGTTGTGGATGAGTGGAACAAAATCCCGAGTACAGTTATTGAGGCTAAAACGTTGTGTAGTTTTAAAAATAGGTTAGATAAATACATGAGTGGGTGTGGGTGGGTGTGAGTTGGACCTGACTAGCTTGTGCTGCTGGGTCTGGTGCCGTGCTCCTTCCTTGAGTGGAGGTGACTAGACTGGGTGGGTCATTTGGCTAATCTGGGGGGGGGGGACATGGACCTGCTCTGCATGGGTCAGGAGGACTGTTGCAGTGTTCCTTCTTTCTTATGTTCTTATGCTGGTTGCCTGGCTGGCTGGTTGCCTGGCTAGCTAGCTAGCTAGCTGGATGCCTGGCTGGCTGGTTGCCTGGCTAACTAGCTGGCTGGCTGACTGGCTGGCTGGCTGGCTGGTTGCCTGGCTAACTAGCTAGCTAGCTAGCTAGCTGGCTGGCTGGCTGGCTGGCGGGCGAGTGCGCAGTGTAATGTTCACTCAAGGATAAACACTGCTAGACTGGCTCACGACACCTGGGCGGGGAGGCGTGCAAGTGCGGGCAGGCGGACAGGTCTGATACGCCGGCCAAAACTCGGGACAAAAATTGGCCAAAAAACAGGGTTCCACTGTATCTAAAAATATCAACTTCCTCCATACTCACTCCCTCCAACTGAACATTCAATCTATCAATGCCTAGACCTTGTGTTACCCTCATCACCATGCTCTTTTATAAATAAAGGGGATGTAAATAGCATGCTGAAAATATCCAGCCAAGACAGGACTTGCAGCAGTGGCTTCAAGTTGGAAAAGTTCAGATTCAGGAAGGATATAGGAAAGCACTGGTTTGGTAAGAGTTGTGGATGAGTGGAACAAACTCCCGATTACCATCATAGACGCTAAGACGTTGTGTAGTTTTAAAAATAGGTTGGATAAATACATGAGTGGGTGTGGGTGGGTGTGAGTTGGACCTGACTAGCTTGGGCTACCAGGTCTGGTGCTGTGCTCCTTCCTTAAGTGGAAGTGACCTGACTAGATGGTCATTGTTCTAGGCTGGGGGGCTGGCATGGACCTGCTTTGCATGGGTCAGTAGGCCTGTTGCAGTGTTCCTTGTTTCTTATGTTCTTATGTTTTAGTTTCCTTCTTTTATATACCCTCTCAAATTCATCCACTTACCTTTGTAACAAATTTGCCTTTAGAATCCCCTAAAAGAACTGTCATCAGCAAAGAGCAACAGGGATAACTTCCACTTTGTATCAGATCAAGCATCTTTCTATCCCACACCCCTTCTCAACACCCTGGTGTTTACTTCTTTTATAACCCCACCTATAAATATGTTAAACAACCACTGTGGCATCACAAATCCTTGTTTTAGTCCTACTTTCACTGGGAAATAATTCCCCTTCCTCCTGAATACGACCTCACTCTCTGCATAGGAACCCCTAACTTTTAATAACCCATCTTCTATTCCATACATTTTCAACACTGCCACATGGCTCCCCTATCCATCTTAAATCCATAAATGCAACAAACATCTTATCCTTATCTGGTACTACTCACTTATATGTTTCAATGTAAACACTTGGTCTACAACACATCCTCCACACTTCCTAAGTCCTCCCTGCTTCTCTGTAATCCTATTTTGTGTTTTACTACTAACTCTTTCAATAATAATTGTACCATAAACTTTACCTGGTATATTCAGTAGGCTTATCACCCTATAATTCTTACATTCCCTCTTGTCCCTTTTCTTTTATACAAAGGAACTATGTATGCTCTGTCAATCCTTTGGTCCTTCCCTTCTTTCATATAAGTGCTAAACAAACACACCAAAATTCCAATATTATATCCCCGCCTGATTTTAATATTAGTCTTAAATCCATCTATCCCAGATGCATTACCCCTTGTCAATCTACCCATTGTCTTATGCACTTTCCCCACATATACCTCAGGATCTTCATTCCTATTATTATATTTATGCTCATAAAAATTCTTAGATTGTAGGAGGCAAGAATTAGCTAACATAAATAACATGACTCATGAAACATTTTGGCTAAATGTTTATATACAAAAAAAAAAATCAGTGTATTTCATGCAAAGACAAAAAAAAATCAATAACCAAATAATGGTGAGAAAAGGCACAAAAAGTACAATAAATATATTGTTTCTTGGATTTACTGAAAGGAGGAAATTTCAACTAATTTCTGTTTCCCAAAATTTGAAGTTTTTGAGACAACTGTAATTGTTTGTAAAATGCATATTCATAACTGAAGCTATGTGGTTATCACCACAGATATATGTTTACTGTATCCAGTTAAAATAAATTTTGTCAAAGGCAAAAACAAACTATAACTTGCACAGTTGCAATACACAATTGGTAAAAATTATGTATTGATTATTGGATTCTAAATTTTTTTTTTTTTTTTTTTCAGACATTAGGTACAATGGAATCAAGAGGCGAAAAAGGTGTGGCTCCTGGACCAAGGATACATAAGACACACCAGTGCAAGTACTGTTCTTACTCCACTTACTTCCATTATCTTCTTGTGCGGCACATCCGTACACATACTGGAGAGAGGCCCTACTCATGTCCACACTGTCCCTACCGCTCTTCACGCAAGGACTACCTCAAGCACCACATCAGCACTCATGTTTCAGTATCTAGTAAATAAAAATAATTTATATATGAATTATTGTATATATTTTATAAGGTATGATTGTATTTTTAGGTTGTACAATTTTACCTGTTGAGGTTTTACAGTGTTTATAATAAACTAAATACCTTTTATGGGCAAATCTATTGTTTCTTTTTTGCAGGTTTGCCTTATTCAAATTTGCTATTATGCCATGTCCTGTTTCTATTGATAACTGTGTGTGTTTAATACATAATTATTTGCTGTATACAATCAGTGTAGTTCACAAAATGTATTAAGATTCTTGGTATGAGATTGAGTGTTGATGGCTTGAGTAACCTTACTACACTGCCATGAACCTGGGACACATCTATTGTATAAAGTGAAAGACGCCTATACACTGAAAAAACTGGGAAAAATTTATAATCTAGAATAAACCAACACACACTGTCAGAATTAGCTATAATTTTAATGATTATTTTTGGATGTACATCAGTAAACTCTCACTAGATTAACTGAGCTATTTTTTCAAAATAAAATTAAAAACTTTGTTAATGTGGTGAACTAGTTCAATAAATACCAATTACTAACTACTGCAAACTTCTCATGTTAAAATACAGTACAACAGAAGAGACTGTCTTAAGTACATACATGTAACACACCAGACTCTTGTAAGGGTTTTGAGAGTGCACCAAACTCAAATTTCATGTATTCATTGCAAATTATATTATGAATGCTTTATGAATCAGGACAAATTTATCTTTTTTTAAACAATCACTTTAAAAAATTAAAAGCCTTGATACATTGCCTACTAATAAAATACTGTGCTTTATAGCATTAGATGTTTAGATGCTTGAAAATATATAAAATTATAAACCAGGAATAGGAGCAACAAATACTGTACATTGAATAATTGAAAACAATTCAAAATCCAAATCAAGCTAGCTGGTGGATGGAAATTTTGAGATTGGAAGAGCAATTTAATTATTTCACTATTGGTCACATTGATATACATCAGTGGATCAGTGTTGCTCACATAGATCTACACACAATTTATAGTGCCTTTAAATTTGCTGAGTGGCAAATTTTGGCCTAGACGTGAGAGAAAGGGTCTGTGTGGTGGGTGTGCAGAGCATAAAAGAAATCCTGACCCACAAATGCATGGTGTGAACAGCTAACCCCTGACCTTGTTGGGTTAAAATAGCAAATTTAGGGTGGTTTTCATGATTTTGTTATCTGCTCCTTTGTGTCAATAGACAGACCATGTATTAATAAAATGGATCTTATGTCAGCTTAAGACTGGAAGTGGCCTGAAATAGACCTCAAGGTGGCAAAAGTGGTCAATTTTCAGACTTTTCCAAGGAAAAGGTAGGAGACCCCAGGATGTTTTATGGTTTTTTACTAGGTCTGCTTCAATTACTGAGATGTCTTAAACCATCTCCCAGCATTTTTTGATTATGGTTTATTAGCCAAGGAATAAGGAAAAACAATGAATTCAAAATGAACAGCAAGTGTTATATAGAAGAGGCCTGGGATGTAATTAATGAACAGCAGGAAGGATGCCTTTGTGGCAAGAATGTGTACAGTGTTTGTTTTGGACTCTATTTTCAACAAATTTTAATTTAAAAACAATGTAAAACTGGCCAAATTGCCAAATTCTGGGCACTTAACCCTGAAGCTGAATGGGTAGTTTCTTGTGATCAATGAACAGCTGAGAACTGAGTCAGTTTGAGTATTGGGATTGTTCAAACTGACTGAAATTGCTGTTGCATAAAGTGCTCACTGACCTGCATAATTCTGTAAGTATTACAGCAAATTTTGCATTTTTGTTTGCATTACTTCTAGAAAAAGATTCTCTACCATTTTAGAATATAAAATCATTGTTTTTAGTTTCTTGAAAAATGCCAACACAGAAGGAAGCTTTCAATATGGAAGGGGTGTCAACAGTGAAAGGGTTAATACATACATGCACCCTGGAAATTATAAAAATGCTGACTTAAACAAAAAAGCTTAGGCTGTGGAAAAATATTTCAAATGCACACCACAGGCAACTGCCCACCACAAGACACCTGCAAACAGGTGGCTTTGGGTTGTGTGTGTGTGTGCCCAATCCACAATCTACAGAGGACCATCCCAAGGTAAGAATTCTTGTTGGAGGGGGTCCAAATGTCCATGTCTTGCCAATCCCTGTATAACTTGTTGCTTTTTCCTAAAGATCACCTGCTACTTCCCAAGGCAAAAATTTATGGGAAGTTTGAAAAAACAGCCTTTGCTTCAGCATCCATCTGTTAAATTTCTAAACTCCTAATGGCCCAGGCACCAACAGAATTCCACCTTCCTGTGATGGGCATGGATATGGGCTAATCACATGGACTTTCTGTGCCACAGGGTGGACAGAACCATACTGGACCAGGGTCAACAGAGTACGCTGGTAATTTAAGTAAATAGTATACCAGGACCCACCTAAACCAGCAATCAGGACAAGAGAAGCAAGAATCATACAGATCTAGCATTGCAAGAAACAGAGAGGACTCTCTTGGTAAATATGCATAATATGAGTCCTTTCTGGTGATTGCCTCAAAGGCAACTATACCCTCACTCTCTGACCCATCAGTAAAGAACTTTATCTTTGAAGCAAGAACCAAGTCATACTCAAGGAACTAGCCAAGGTCATTACTGGGGCTCAGCACTTATTAGTCCCCATCCACTACCTACAAAGACACTCTCATGCACTATCCAAGAAGGGCAGGGAGAGAAACCATCCTCCACAACTGCAGATAAGGGAGGAAGAGTAGCTGATAACTGTCACACTACTGATCCACACTATCAATAGTTTCCATTATCTTTGGTATCAAATGTGTATCAAAAATATTCTTTAATACTAACTAGGTAACATTAGTATTGTACAAGGGAAGCAGAGCTAATTCTCACTGAAGGGAGGAAGCTTTCTTGTTTTAATTATCTTTATATTCTTGGAAAAGCACTACAGTGATAGGAGTCAAAGTGGCCCGGTGGCCTGGTGGCTAAAGCTCCCGCTTCACACACGGAGGGCCCGGGTTCGATTCCCGGCGGGTGGAAACATTTCGACACGTTTCCTTACACCTGTTGTCCTGTTCACCTAGCAGCAAATAGGTACCTGGGTGTTAGTCGACTGGTGTGGGTCGCATCCTGGGGGACAAGATTAAGGACCCCAATGGAAATAAGTTAGACAGTCCTCGATGACGCACTGACTTTCTTGGGTTATCCTGGGTGGCTAACCCTCCGGGGTTAAAAATCCGAACGAAATCTTATCTTATCTTATGGGAGGTAATAAGAAATGAGCCAGGGGAAGAGTAGATCCATTAATTTAACAGAGAGCCCTTTACTGGCATGAAGGTACCCCTCAGTGTTTTCTTTTGGTGGAAGATAGTCTACAATTTTCCTTTTCAGCAAAATAGAATGACTGCTCAACCTTCAAGTACTGTACAGTGGACCCCCGGTTAACGATATTTTTTCACTCCAGAAGTATGTTCAGGTGCCAGTACTGACCGAATTTGTTCCCATAAGAAATATTGTGAAGTGGATTAGTCCATTTCAGACCCCCAAACATACACGTACAAACGCACTTACATAAATGCACTTACATAATTGGTCACATTCGGAGGTAATCGTTATGCGGGGGTCCACTGTATTATTATAATCTATAGACTATCTGATGTTAAATAATGCAATGTTAGTTATAAATTTGTGCTTAAAAGTGAAAAATAGATTGTATGATTAATAAATACTAATAACCCAGATACTAGAGTCTTCCTTATCTAAAAGCATTTATTTATTCTGCCTAAATTTTATGCATTTCATGGAAAGCCTAATTATGCACAGCTTAGAATACAGGTTGACCATCACTAATTCGGCATCATCAGGACCTGTAGGGTGCCGGATTAGATTTTACAGAGTGGTTAGGTTAGCATACACATAACACAACGGTAATAGTTACACATCGGCAATTTCACCCACTTTACACCCTATTTTTGGCCCATTCCATTGTTTCAGTCTATCAAACTCAGCTACAGTGGACCCTCGGTTATCGGCCAACTCAGTTATTAGTCGGCTTTTCGGGTTCCGGTTATCGGCTGTTATTTCGCTTATGAGCCGTATTGTACCCATCCACCTAGCAGCCACAGCCACTCACACGTCTCGTGAGTCAGTCTGGCTGTGTCTCTGGGTGTGTGAGGAAGCTTCTGCTCATTTATCCAAACATTTTGCAGGCAGGGAGTGTAGCAGGCAGGCAGGGAGTGTAGCAGGCAGGCAGGGATTGTAGCAAGCAGGCAGGGAGTGTAGCAGGCAGGCAGGGAGTGTAGCAGGCATGCAGGGAGTGTAGCAGGCAGACAGGGATTGTAGCAGACATGCAGGGAGTGTAGCAGGCAGGCAGGGAGTGTAGCAGACATGCAGGGAGTGTAGCAGGCATGCAGGGAATGTAGCAGGGAAACAGGGAGTGTGGAAGGGAGGCAGGGAGTGTAGCAGGCAGGCAGGGAGTGTAGCAGGCATGCAGGGAGTGTAACAGGAATACAAGGACTGTGGCAGGGAGGCAGGGAGTGTAGCAGGCAGGCAGGGAGTGTAGCAGGCATGCAGGGAGTGTAACAGGAATACAGGGAGTGTAACAGGCATGCAGGGAGTGTAGCAGGCAGGCAGGGATTGCAGCAGGCAGGCAGGGAGTGTAGCAGGCAGGCAGGGAGTGTAGCAGGCAGGCAGGGAGTATAGCAGGGAAACAGGGAGTGTAGCAGGTAGGCAGGGAGTGTAGCAGGGAAACAGGGAGTGTGGAAGGGAGGCAGGGAGTGTAGCAGGCAGCAGGGAGTGTAGCAGGCATGCAGGGAGTATAACAGGCATGCAGGGAGTATAACAGGCATGCAGGGAGTGTAACAGGCATGCAGGGAGTGTAGCAGGCATACAGGGAGTGCAGCAGGCATGCAGGGAGTGTAGCAGGCAGGGAGGGAAATAATCCCAGAGAGGGCTTTGCTACTTTAAGTCCTTATGGAGGGGGGATTTCCCTTCCAAACAATAATCAGTCCTCCCTCTCTCCTCGTCCCTGTCTTCCATAAGCCAACAAGAGTCTTCAATAAAGGTATGTAATAGTGATTTAAATGTTCATTTATTTATTTTATTTAGTTCTCATTGTTTTGTGTATGTAAAACTATAATTAATCTTTAAAAAATTTATTTTTTGTTAATATTTTTGGGTGACTGGAACGAATTAATTGTATTTACATTAATTCTTGTGAGAAATATTATTTCGGTTTTAGGCCAGCCTTCTGAAATGGATTACGGCCGATAACCGAGGGTCCACTGTATTTCGCTAGTATTCCTTCCAGAATAAACAATGCCGACATTCCTAGCACTAAAATAAAATTTTCTCTGTTCATTAGTCACATCTCCAGGCCCCACTTATAGTATTACGCTCGCTTTCCATTTTGAATTTTTATTCACACAAAAAATAGAAGATTTACTATTATGCAGACTACTGCATTATTGTAATAATTGTTTAAATAATGTCAACCCATTTGTGCCTACGTATTAGACCGGCCAGTTGGGCTTGTATTGGATGATGACGTCATTTGTTTACTCTTGAACATCGGCAAAAATCGAACATTTCCACTACTTTGAACTCAATTTTAAGGTACTTTCCAGCATGAAACCAATCAAAATTATATCTATTTCTGTAATGTAAAAGTTGCTTTTACACCCAAAGCACAGTCACCATTTTTTCTCATTATGCACTGCGTGCTGCAGGATTTTTTTATATAGTGCACACTTACCACAAAGACCTATTCTCTCATATGTAGGCCCAAATTTACCAGTCACAGCTTATCTGAATGAGCTGAGCTCATCGTGACCGACAATGACTTGAAAGCCACCTTATCTTTTATGGACAATATATGGTGTATGTGCTTTACACAACGAGAAGCATTTCTTTTATTTGTTGGAACTATGGCTAGGGCTAAAAGTGAGCAGGTTATAACAATAATTGGAGAAAAAGAAATTGGAATGATTTATGCAGCAAGTAGTACCACCAAACAGTAGTGGCAGGTTTGTGTGGCGACCCCGGAAATTTGAAATTATGCTAGCCAAAATTAGTGCCGGATTACTGATGGAACTAGATTACTGATTGCCAACCTGTACTAGAATACATTATAAATACAAGTTGTTAGGTATTTTAACCCTTTGGCTGTTTACATCATATATATACGTCTTACGCACCACTGTTTCTGATACATTTATACGCGTAAATTCTAGCGGCTTCAAATCAAGCAGGAGAAAGCTGGTAGGCCCACATGTGAGAGAATGGGTCTATGTAGTCATTGTGCACCACATAAAAAAAATCCTGCAGCATGCAGTGCATAATGAGAAAAAAAAAACTGACCGTTTTTTTGGATTAAAACGCCAACTTTGAGGTGTATTTTCGTATAGTATTTATCATTGTATTCTCGTTTTCATGGTCTCAAGTGATTAAATGGGAAACATATTACAGAAATGGAGATGATTTTTTCATTACTTTCACGATGAAAACGACCTTGAAATTGAGCTCAAAGTAGCAAAAATGTTAAATTTTTACCAATGTTCAGGAGTAAGCAAATTACACCACATGTCCATCGGGGGAGTCTAATATTCTTTCACTAGTGCACTGATATCATTTATATCATTTTTACAATAATGCAGTAGTCTGCATAACAGTAAATTTTGTATTTTTTTGTATGAATAAAAAATCAAAATAGAAAGCAATAGTAATATAAGAGGGGCCTAGAGACATGACTAATGAACAGAGGATATGTTATTTTAGTACCAAGAATGTCTACATTGTTTATTCTGGACCCTATTTTGAAATTGGCATCTTTTTTAATTTGCGTGAAATTGGCCAAATTGCCAATTTCTGACCACTTTATTGGGTAGTTCAAATCGGTAAATAGGCGGTTTCTTGTACTTAACTGCTAGAAAAAATGGAGTTCTAAAGAAATAGCTATGAGTTTGGTCAACTGGAACAACAGAATTAGCCAAAAACAGGGCTCAAAGTCGGCGAAATTGCCGATGCATATATGTCGCCGAGACCTCTAACTTCGCGGGAGCGTAATTCCGTGAGTTTTTGACCAAATTTCGTACTTTTGGTGTCATTACCATCGGGAAAAGATTCTCCATCATTCCATAAGAAAAAAAATAATTTTTTTTTCCAAGACTTTTACGACATAGAATGATACTTTCAGAAAGGGGCTTGCGACAGTCAAAGGGTTAAGAGGTAGATACAGTGGACCCCCGCATAACGATATTAATCCATTCATGAGAGCTCATTGTTATGCGAAATTATCGTTATGCGAATGAATTTTCCCCATAAGAAATAATGGAAATCAAATTAATCCGTGCAAGACACCCCAAAGTATGAAAAAAAAACATTTTTACCACATGAAATATTAATTTTAATACACAAACTGAAAAAGGCATGCACAATTACATGACACTTACCTTTATTGAAGATCTGGTGATGATTGATGGGATGGGAGGAGGAGAGAGTCTTAATGTTTAGAAGGGGAATCCCCTTCCATTAAGACTTGAGGTGTCAAGTCCTTTTCTGGGGTTACTTCCCTTCTTCTTTTAATGCCACTAGGACCAGCTTCAGAGTCACTGGACTTCTGTCGCACAACATATCTGTCCATAGTGGCCTGTACCTCTCGTTCCTTTATGACTTCCCTAAAGTGTTTCACAACATTGTCAGTGTAATAGTCACCAGCACGGCTTGTAATAGCTGTGTGAGGGTGATTTTCATCCATAAAGGTTTGCACTTTCAGCCACATTGCACAGATTTCCTTAATCTTTGTAGTAGGCAACTTCTTCAATTTCTCTCTCCCCTCCTCCGAACCAGTTTCCTCAGGTCTGGCCTCTTGCTGTTGAAGTTGATCTAGCAGCTCATCAGTGGTTAGTTCTTCATTGTCCTCCTCCACCAGCTCTTCCACATCCTCCCCACTAACCTCCAACCCCAAGGACTTTCCCAATGCCACAGTGGATTCCTCAACTGGTATACTCCTCTCAGGGTTAGCCTGAAACCCTTCAAAATCCCTTTGGTCTACACATTCTGGCCACAGTTTCTTCCAAGCAGAGTTCAAGGTCCTCTTAGTCACTCCCCTCCCAAGCCTTACCTATAAGGTTTACACAATTGAGGATATTAAAGTGATCTCTCCAAAACTCTCTTAGAGTCAGTTGAGTTTCTGAGGTCACTACAAAGCACCTTTCAAACAGAGCTTTTGTGTACAGTTTTTTGAAGTTTGCAATAACCTGCTGGTCCATGGGCTGCAGGAGAGGAGTGGTATTAGGAGGCAAAAACTTCACCTTAACGAACCTCATGTCCCCATAAAGTCGCTCTGCCATGTCTGTAGGATGACCAGGGGCATTGTCTAACACCAGGAGGCACTTA